ACCTGCTTCCACCACTTCCTTGGCCAGTTTATTCCACACATGAACCACTTTGTGTGTGAAAATGTTGCCCCTCAGGTCCTTTTTACATCTTTCTCCTCTCACTTTAGAATATATCCCCTAGTTTTGAACTCGCCCACCTTAGGGAAAAGACCTTTGCTATTCACCTTATCTATGACCCTCATGATTTTATAAACCTCTATAAGGTCATCCCTCAACTTGCTGCGCTCTAGTGAGAAAAGTCCTAAACTATCCAGCCTATTTTTATACCTCCAACCTTCCATTCCCAGCAACATTCTGGAAAATCTTTGCTGAACCCTCTCCAGTTTAATAATATCCTTACTATAACAAGCAACCAGAACTGCACACAATACTCCAGAAGAGGCCTCACCAACATCCTGTAGAATATCAATACAATGTCACAACACCTTTACTTATTGGTCTGAGCAATGAAAGCAAGCATGCTAAATGCCTTCTTAACCACTGTGTCTACTTGTGACACAAATTTCAAAGAACCATGTACCTGAATCCCTCTGTTTGACAATACTTCCCAGGGTCCTACCATTAATTGTTTAAGTCCTGCCCTTGTTTCTTTTCCCAAAATGTAATACCTCACATTTATCCAAATTAAACTCCATCTGCCACTTCTCAGCCCATTGACCCAGTTGATCAAGATCCCTTTGGAATCTTAGATAACCTTCTTCACTGTCCACTATACCACTAATTTTGGTGTCACCCGCAGACTTACTAACTATGCCTCCTATATTCTCATTCAAATCATCTATATACGTGACCAAACCAAAGTGGACCTAGCACCAATCCCTATGGAACACCACTGATCACAGGCCCCAGTCTGAGAAATAACCCTCCACCACCATACCCTTTGTCTCCTACTATAAAGCCAATTTTGTATCCAATTGGCAAGCTGACTGTGGATCCCATGTGATCCAACTTTGCTAATGAGTCTACCACGCAGAATCTTATCAAAGGCTTTACTAAAGTCCAAGTAAACAACATCTAACGCTCTATCCTCATCAATCTTTTTGGTTACTTGCTGAAAAATGTCAATCAAGTTTGAGACACAATTTCTCTCACACACAACCATGCTGACTACCCCTAATTATTCTTCACCTCTCCAAATGCATGTAAATCTTACAGAATCATGTCCAACAACTGACCTACCACCGACGTCAGCCTCGGAGGACTATAGTTCCCAAGGTTCTGCCTACAGCCTTTCTTAAATAAAGGTGCAACATTAGCCACCCTCCAGTCCTCTGGCACCTCAACTCTATTTATAAATGATACACTACTCATTACAACTTAGCAGCTTGAAAGACCCATTTACCCTATTCTCTGACTGCCTAACAGGAAGCAATCTTCCCAGTACTAGTGCCAGTGCCCCATGAACTGGATCCTACTTCTCCCACACCAGTCTTTGAGCCATACATTCATCTCTGTAATCTGATTTGCTCTCTCCAATTTGGACATAGCACATGTAATAATGTGGAGCTTATGGTCTGAAGGATTCTGCTGCTTAAGTTGGCACCTAACTCTACAAACTAAGAATGCGGAACCTCCTGTTTTGGCATGTCTGTGCTGTTGGTACCTGTATAGACCATGATACTTAGATCCTTTCCCTCCTACTGCAAGATCCTCTCCAGCATAGTGCAGATATCCTGAGCCCTAGTATCAGGCATGCAATACAGCCATTTGGACTCGTGTTCTTTGCTGCAGAGACCGATGTCAGACTCACTCACTGTACTGTCGCTTACTACCACTGCATTCCTTCTTCCTGTCCCCTCCTTGAGTAGCTTCCTTTTTTTGGATTTCAAGGTCATCCATGGTACAGCACTCTCTCTCATCCAAACAAGCTGAAAGAACCCCAAACCCATTTGGATAATTACAAGATTCTTTCCCTCTGGGACCCCTTACCTGCCTCACTCACAGTTATTCTCCCCTTTCCCTGAGCACTGACTAAATCAGATTATCCAACCCCCATAAGAGATGTGCCTGTCTCCTGGTATCTAGTTCAGTAATAAAATTGAGCCAAAGATGATCAAACTTGGGAGACACTTGCTGCAGATCCGTTTGCTCTGGACGAAACTAGTATCCATGACCTCCCACATTTTGGAACAGTGACACATCACCTGTTCCTCCTTCCTTTAATGTGTTCTAAGGAGCTACTTAGTTATTGTATTCAACTTTATATTTAGTTATGTTTTCATCTAATTTATTAACCTTGCCACCAGCTGCTACACTACTTCGAGCCTTAGGAATAGAATAAACCTTAATTGGTTATTAGATACACACCAATTAATCAGCAACTTCTGCTGTAGCAGAGCAAGAGTCAATTCCTGGAGATTGAAAAAGTTTAGGCTAAAGTAATTCAATATCTCTTTCCATTCATCTGCTTAACTCCCTGAAATGTTTAATTCTTTCGCTCGTGCATGTCGCACTCAAGTGCTAAGTTGTACAAATTTGGCTAGTTTTTAATGCTCCTAAAAAAATCTTACCAACATAACTTAACGAGGATTTGGTTTCAGCTGGTTCCTAATTAAGCTGCTGTTTCACTTAAAACCCATGAAAATATCCTTGCATAAGGCTGGCAAATACAGAATTTAAACCCCTAGAATTTCCAGTTTAATGCCAACTACAAACTAAATCGGATTTTGTACAGGTCAAAATGTAGTCTTTCTTACCCAACAGCTGCATGCACCTGGCTCTCCCATGAGGTAGCATGTAGTGAATGGATTGGGAAGAGGATTGTGAGAAGTGGAAGTGCTTTGAGCTCTCACTTCTATGCACCAGTTACCATTATCTTCATGGGCCCACTCATACTTCTTTCCTAGCAATGCGAACGCTGTGGACCAATTGGGTGACCAAGTCTAGGACATGCTGCATCCTATGTAGGATGGCATTAGTAGTGTGCAGGCTCATTAATGAAGCTTTGTAACAGTCAGACAAGTGCATACAATTAATACTCCATGTAGTGGCCTCTCTTTCCTCATATGTTTTTTGATCAACCTGTTCTGACATGTGGCAGGTTAGACTTGAACCTGGACATTATGACCCAGAGGTAGGAACACTGCCAATATGCCACAGTAGCCCTGTCTGCTCCACCTGGTATTCCCAGATGGTCTTCCATCTAAGTACCAACCAAGCCGGAGCACACTTGCTGTCCACTATCAGAATAGAATGGCTGTAGACACAGCCTCTGTATATGAAGACATTATTACAAAGATTTGCAACGCCATGCTTGAGATGCATTTTTTATCTATTTGGGAGCATGCATAGTGCAATTGGAACAGCAAATCAGCTAATACATTACGCATTCTTTACTGCTTCAGAAGTGTCTTCTTTCTCCAGAGGCCCCAAAGTGTAGCCTTCGTATCTAGCTTGGACATTCTTACACGGAACCTTGCTTTGGTGTCCCTGTCTCCACTATCTGCCCTTTCTTACTTGTAATATGAGAGTCAATAGATAACAACTTTATCGATTCCACCAAAATTGTGCATGGTATGCTTGAGGCTTTTGGTACCCCTTCAGCAGGATAATCATTAACGAGCTGTGACCACATTCTAGGATTACCTGCTGTGGACACTTGAAGATTGTAGGAAATTAGTGACTTGAATGAGAACTGTTAGAATATGTTAAATGATCATTTGCACGTGATCTTGTTTCATTTGCTGCTGAGATTAAGTCAACATGAGTGCATTGTGTATGCCATAATGGCTGTTTAATATTAATTTTGTCATCAAGTAACTGGGAGATTCCCATCTCTGGCCAAGCGTACCAAGACTGAAGTGCTACTTAGAATTGCCATCTCATCAGCAATCAGTTGATAAATCCCTGGAGGGATACTTTTAGTTGTATGCCCCTCATGTTTTATGCTCTCTTCCATTTGGAAAGGGAAAAGGAGACCCATGAGTGAGAGTAATAGCATGTATTGAGTAGATGGGGAGCATTCCTTGATGGCGATGAGGTTATGAGCATGACATTAATGAAGATGATATGAGGGTGAGTATCACTGGTAGATGGATAAACATGTGGGTAGGTACATAGAAAGATAGGTTTACCTGCATAATTTAATTTTTGTTGCCTTCTCTATTTTACCATTATAATAGATCACTGTTCTTTGGTTTCTAATGTTCCTATCAGAGGAAACAATTTCTCCATATTTACTATTCATAACTTGAACATAATTAAATCCCCTTTGCACTATTATTGATCATTTGGCTTCATTCCTATACCTACTGGTGTAATCATCTGATGGAAGCCTTGCAAAACACAAAATAATTACTAACACTGGTTTGACCCATGCCGAGTGATTTGGTCACCTGGTATTTAATCTTATAATACTGTTTGTAATACCCAATCACATGACATTTAATCATGTGAATTGGTACAGTTTCTTTGCAAATGTTATTAAATTTACTTTAATGTTTTAGTATCACTGAGCCCCGAATAAAATTAAATTGTGCGTTGTGTAGTGAGATGATTAAGTTAAAGAAACAAAAATGATGGTGCACATTACAAGCCAACATAAACTCCATCTTACAGTAATAAAAATAGAAATGTTTGGAGAAACTCAACAGGCCTGGCATCATCTGTGGAGAGAAAGCAGTTAATGTTTCGAGTCTGATCATTCTGAAGAAATGTTAACTCTGACTTCTCTCCATAAATGCTGTCAGTCCTGCTGAGTTTCTCCAACAATTTCTGTTTTTGTTCTATATCTTGAACATCTGCAGGTTTTTTTGTTTTATCTTAATGTGTATCCCCTTTACAGTAGGTTGTTGCTTTCTGTTTTGCCCCCTCAATTTATTCATGTCTTCCACACTTCCCCCTCCTATCGTGGCCATCATCACCCTATATCTCCATTTCCCAGTTGTGTTTCACTCTCCACTCTCCTTTCAGTTTTTTTTTCTCTCTCTCCCCACTTTGTGTTTCATTCTCCACCCTTTCTTTCTCTCTTTCCCCCTGTCTCAGGAATCATGGAGTTTCCAGGCAAATTTAATAGGCCCTGATGTCATCGTCCTCACAATCAACAGTCAAGCTGTCTGTTCTGAATAGCGGTGGAACCCGCAGGGCTCAAACAGCACTGTTTGCAAGCACATTGACCACGGTACTGCAAGTGCACAAACTGCACTTGGGACAATTTCTTTTATGTTGAGAGCAGAATGTCAGTCACCCGTTCTGATAGACTTCAGGCCAAAGTATGAATGTTGGGGATCCAACCTCAAAGTACCCCCAGGTTTTACTGCTGTGCACAAATAAGGTACCACTGGCTTTTTTCATTTTTATGTAAATGTAGCAACACAATGCATTTGTGGATTAGTCTTTAGTTTCTTTTTGGAGAACTGTTCATTCTTGTAAATCTGTGGGCCAAGATATTTGCAGAATCTCTACCTAATGGAGATCCATGATGGAATTTTGCTATAATGATGAGTGGGAGCTTCCACAGGTATGTCAAACCCAATAATGTCTGCCTGTTTTTGTAACAAAAGCAGAAAGGGATGCAAAATTGAAAGTTAGTAGTGCAGTTGAATTTATATGATTTTATAGTCAGAGCTTGCCTGTTTATTGTTTGATATTTTGTGTGCAACATTGTAAGCCATGTCATTTGTCCACACCACCACTTGGGACCACTGTATTTTTAAAGGAGCAAGCATTGATCAAAACTTGTACTCTGATCTAGTTCAGAACGACTGCTATAAAATGACATTCAGCTTTCAATCCAAATGGTATGATGAAATTTCTGCCAAAGTTTGCTTTTGTTAATGATTGGCATGTTTGTTGAGTGTTAATCCGGCTGATTTGGTAAAGAGTTGAAGGCCACTTGCAGTTTCTCTTATCGACAGAAGTCTGAAATTTTAAGCACGTATGCACGATAAGTTCTTATGTATGATCCATTTGATATGTTCGGGTCTTTGACTTTTAAATTAATTCCAAGATTACTTACATAACATTAGTCTGAGGTGAAGAATAACTTTTTTGTTCTTTAAGAGCCAAGAGTTTTTGAATGAGGATGGAGGCAATGAATGGTGAATGTTTGTTTTAGTGTTTTTATCTAATTGTATGCATTTGTATCAAACCCCAGCGTAAAAGTCTGCAACTTTTTCAGTTACAATGGGTATGAGGACACATCAGCCACAAGTATTATATAAAACCTCGAAATATTACCCCTGGGTAAACCCTAGTCCCTATTGATCATAGTTAAGAACCTTGTCTTTGTATAGTGAATGCAACTCAAGTGTTAGAAATATGTGAAAGGATTCCTATGTTGTACTGTTTTTATTCCATCTCCCTTTTAGTTCATAATCTTATCTTGAAGGTTGTGGCCTTTGATGAAGTGCAGCTTTATGGATATTCTTAGCCTTTCTTGTACTTTGACCAAGAAACATTTTTTGAGTTAATACAGTATTGCGCAGTAGCTCTTGGAAGGAGAGGCAGGATCTTACCAAGTTTCATCCTGTAAGAGACTCATTTCAGCCTTCACCTATTTCATCAAACATTTGACTCTTTCTGACTACCCTCTATCCACCTACATCCAGGCCTCCCCTGCCACTTGAAGAAACCTGGTTCTGGTCCCCTTCTTTTTAGCACTGGATCTACTCCATATCTGCCACCTAGTTAACTTTTGGACCCTGCACTTGCATCCTAACTTAATGGCCCAACAAATTCACGTCCATCATCCATGTTCCCTGCTGTGCAGGACTTAACTCTATCATTGAATAACTTCTAACTCTGCTTACTTCCTTCAAAGAAAGATTTAACTGTGGGAACATACATTGGTTTTCATTAATTATGCATAAAATGTCCACAGACCCGTTACCCTTGTGGGCCATCTTTGAGTCTTCCCTTTGTGGCACACATCATAGGCTTATTTTGTAACTAATCATATTTTGGATGGCCAAGGTCTTTGGATGCAGGAGTTCAGGCCTGAATGCCGGTAGGGGAGGCAATGGCCTAGTGGTATTATCGCTGGACTGTTGATCCAGAGACCCGGATAACATTCTGGGGACCCAGGTTCGAATCCCACCACCATGGTGGAATTTGAATTCAATAAAATAACTGGAATTAAGAATCTAATGATGACCATGAATCCATTGTCGATTGTCAGAAAACCCCACCTGGTTCACTAATGTCCTTTAGGGAAGGAAACTGCCCTCCTTACCTGGTCTGGCCTACATGTGACTCCAGACCCACAGCAATATAGTTGACTGTAGAGGGCAGTTAGGAATGGACAATAAATGCTGTTAATGAATAAGGAGGAAAAAAAAGTTTGCAAGAACAAAATTACTGACAAATTAAATAAAGCATGTAACAGTTCGTGTATTTTTTGCTTGTGATTTGGAAACTGTTTTGTACTACGTAGGGCATTGATTTTAAACTAAATAATCAAATTTTGAATGAGTCAAAACAGGTTTTTACTACAAATCTTGGTGGGAATGATGCTTTTGAGATGAGTTATGTACTTGTCAAATTTCACAAGATTGTAAATCTGTAGTTTTTATCACCATCAGTGTTTGCCTTTCTCATAATTTTGTGTTTGGAGTTCAAAATTATGAAGATATTCCGTGTTGTTGTTCCTTAGTATTTAAGTTTCTGGTCAGTAATGATCCCTGGATAGATAATGATACTCATGAATGTCAAAGAAAGTTGGTTAGATTCTGACTAATGTCTTAATCCCCTTGGAAACTGATAAATTTTAAAAGAAAAGAATCCCCATGACACCAATGGAAAGAGAACCAATGAACCATTTCATTTTCCGGACTGTTATTGTAACAAATCAATTAAAATTAACAAAATTTAAAGATCAATTTACAGGCAAGGATATTTTAAGTAAAACTTAAATTAAACTTTAGGTAATCAATGAAATAAAAGATATGTTGCACATAGTTACAAACCTTACTTCCTGAAAATGAGCAATTACTTGCAATCTGTTTCTCAATTCTATCTCCATTAATATAGGTTCTCTCAATTCCACTTAATTGTTTCAGCCCTTGAGTGGCATTCATTAGCAGCTGAATCCTGTCTGAAGTTCCTAGACCTGGTCACCACTGACAAGGTGCAGTCTGTGAACCATGTCTGTCACCTGGGTCACAATAGTTCTGGTGGCACAGAATTCTCAGTGAGTCCTGTCTCTGACCCTTTTACATAATCTTCATAATCTTAGGCAGTGCCTCAAAGCTTAAGATGTTTCTTCCACTTTTCAGTCCACCCTTTTAAGTGATCTGTTTGGCTCTGCAAAGCCTGAACCAGCTGCAGTGGATCTTGTCTAATCCACAAATCCTTGCTGTTTCTGTCTTCAGCTCTCTGTTTCTAACTGTATACCACACAAAGTGACACAGTTTATTATATTCTCAAAGACCTACTTCAATATCAGGATCTATTCTGAAATGCCAGAAAATTGATCCATTTGTGAAGAGTCATACACAGGAATTTTGTATTCTCAACTGTCGACATAAAGACAAGCTGAAACACACACTACTGTAATTAGTCTTCTGTTTACCTTTTTGCATCTTCGCTTTTTACCCCATAGCTATCTTGGATTGAGTGTGCTTTTCCTAAAACTTAATGGTGTCATATTCAGAAAATCAGTGTAACCCTCTTTCAGGATACTCCCAATTCACTTTGGTCTTACAAAAGACATCCCACAAAATAGAAATACATACAAAATCCCATAGTTCATCATACTGATTGGAGATGCTAATTTCCTGGTGTTTGTGTGGCACAAATTTTACTTGCCATTTATCAGTCTAAATCTGAATCTTGTCAAGGTCTTGATGTATGCAATCGTATGAATGGTTGTGAATGGTACCGAACGCTATCACGTGACAATAATCTAAAATTTGTAATGGAATACAGATTTATTTCAGAAGTAATATGGTGAGAACTTATTAACATGATTGTTTCATTTGCAGCAGAATCATTAAATGGAATTATAATTTTGGAAGTTAAATATAAAAATAATTAATATTAAAGTGCTTTTCACTTGATAATCATGCATATAATTTCAAAATTATACTCTTTCTTGAAATGAGTTTACTGGCTGTAAATCCTGCCTATATATTTTTAACTTGCATACATATTAGACAACTCATTCAGTGTTTTTAGCTTTGTAAATGAAGGTATGCAAACTATAATCCAGTTCCTGCAAGTTAATTGGCAATTTTCTGCTGGTTCCAAGAAAACAGCAGTAGATATACCTTGAAGAGATCTGATCTGTAGGGTACTGTTTTGTAAACCATTTCGAATTATTTCTTTAAAAATTTGAACAAATGAAGTGCTGATATAAAATTAGCAATATTTAACAATGTTTAAATAAAATTTGTTTTGATACTTTCTGCTATTTTTAAAAGGTGACAGTCCAATAAACAATGAGAAGGAGAGGAAAATGGTTGTTCAGAAGCCAACAGGAACCACTAAATACACGGTAAAAATTTAATTCCTGATTTGTAATATATATATAATTATTTTAATATTCAAATAAATCAGGTACCCTAACTCTGTCGCAGTTTATTGGAAAAGAAATTGACGGACATTGTAAGGGAAATGTGAGACAATGTGTAAGAGATGTTCTGGAGCATTGCCACTGTAGTATGACACATGCAATTTTGTTTAACATTGTAGGCTGACTCTCAAGATACACTGAATACCATAGCTTTGAAATTTGATGTTACTCCAAATGAACTTGTTCAGATCAACAGGCTTTTCAGTCGTGTTGTTGTTCCTGGTCAGGTATGGCTTTGGTAACTTTGTAAAAGCTTCCCCACCATTATTTTAATGTTTGATATATTTTTTGATGTTGTTTAAGTTTTAACTGTCCCCAATACCTTTCAGATTTTATATGTACCAGATTCACGTTCTTCACATGGTGCAGAAAATTCACCAGACTGTGACAGCCCTCTTACTCCACCTTCATCTGATGCTGAGTATGATAAACTTCCAGTGAGTATTCAAGTTGTTAATGGATACTTGTTCTAGAAATAATAAATTATCTGTACACCCTCTTCAACCTGAATATTTTAACTGTAAATGTTTAACAAACTATAGAAATGTCATCTCAATTATTAAGTCATCTTAGTTGAGATTTTCATATTAGCCTTTACTTGCATGATTAATTGACTAATCTAACCTTTGCAGGATGCTGATTTTGCAAGAAAGATAACTCCCGGGAATTTCTTCTCCTCACCAGTGCGTTCACAGTCTATCACAAGAGTAATGTCTTCAGGTTCAGAAGATGATGAACCACTTACTGAGAAGTTTTTGAAAATGAACTGCAGATACATAACAGATGGCGAGGTAACTATAGTCATTGCTTTGAAAAAATTGAATTGTCATCATTTTTGATTCTTCCACATACTCTGAATAAGTATATGGATTTGGGAAGAACTGAAAATCTGACCATTGAATGACTGAAATTAATGTTTAGCAAGTGCGACAAAACAGAAATTGCTGGTGAATTTCAACAGATCTGGCAGCATCTGCGGGAAGAAAGCAAAGTTCTAGTCATCAGACCAGTTCATTTTAACTTTCTTCTTGCCTCTCCTGAACTTTTTCATGTGTTTTGTACAAATGCAGATTTGGATCAGGAAAATATAATAACATTTTCAGACTCCTTATTGAATTTACCCATGGTAAAAATTCCTTCACAATGATCCAAGATTCTTTTATAATTTAGAATGTAAAGAATGACAAAAAATATTAGTTAAAATACCCAAAAAATCTCTCTCTACTTCCCACAAGCAGTGTGCCTTCCATCATGCCAACCCATATTGTTAAATACATCATGCTGAGGTGTAACAGCTGAGAATCTATGGTAGGAGAAATCATCCTCCAGAAATCGCACTCCTCAGAGACCCAACTACTTCCCAATCTGGCTTTGATCCCCCATGGTGACAGTGGGTCCTTTTTGAACCATTTCAGACTGGCTGAGGCCTCTCCAGCCATCCAATATCAGTGGGGTTGCCAAAAACATCTAGCTGTGATGCAGTCTAAACGTATAAGGCATTCCACAGACTAAACTTTTAAGGCAAGGTTAAAGAATACTGTCTAACCACTGACGAGGCTGTGCACATTCAAAATAAATAAAGTTGAAAAAGAGCAGAATCTTTTTGGTATCTCGATCTGCATTCTTTCCTCTGCCATTGCCACAAAAATTGATCAGCTGGTCATTCATGCCATTGCTGCTTTTAGGATCTTGCTGTACTAACATTACATTCCTTGCACAGCAAAGTATTACATTTTATTCCAAGTCCTTTGAAAGACTTGGTGAGATGCTATGTAAATGCAAGTTTTCATTTCAGTTAATGTTAGAATTTTGGGAGAAAGAACTTGTGACACCCTCACATCATTACAGTGTGTAATAAGTTGCAGTAGAAAGCACTGTATCTTTTAAACAAGGTAAAACTGAATCTCTGTTTAGTTGCAGTTTTTGGTTGTATACTGTCCATGGTGTTGTTACATGTGCTGTTTTTACCATCAGGGTGTAGTGGGAGGAGTTATGATTGTCACTCCAAACAACATAATGTTTGACCCACACAAGTCCGATTCCCTTGTCATAGAGAATGGTTGTGAGGAATATGGACTCATTTGCCCCATGGAAGAAGTCATATCCATTGCTTTATACCCTGATATCTCGCACATGAAGATTAAAGATGCACTTCCATCGTAAGTGTTTTTTTTATAAAAATTATTTCTACTTTGGAAATCACTTTGCCTTTTCCTTGTACACAACTACATTTAATAGTAAAATTGCAGTTTTGAATGAAATATGCTCTTGTCAAACAGCCTGAAATTTGGTAAAAATAGTAGTTCAAAAATATCATTTGTTCACAGGGTATGAGCATCACTGGCTAAGCCAGCATTTGTTGTCCATTCCTAATTGCCCTAGGGAGCTGACCCAAAAACAGAAGTTGCTGGAAAAGTTCAGCAGGTCTAGCGACATCCATGAAGAAAAATCAGGGTTTAATGTTTTGGGTCCAGTGATCCTTTCGCAGAACTTAGTTGATAATGATCTGGCTTGGAGGGTGAATAGCTGTTAATGGAGACTGTTAGTGGCTAACAATGGGTGATGTGTAATAGCAGGCTATGTGATAACAAGGCCTGGTGTATGGGGTAGGGGGCTAGGACATGAGAGAGTTCAGGCCTTAAAATTATTGAACTCGATATTGAGTCCAGAGGACTGCAGGGTCCCCAGGTGAAAAATGAGGTGTTGTTCTTCCAACTTGTGCTGAACTTTGCTGGAACACTGCAATAAACCTGAGACAGAGATGTTGGCAAGGGTACAGGGTGGTGTGTTAAAGTGGCAGGCAACTGGAAGTTCAGGGTCTTTTTTACGGGCAAAATATAGATGTTCTGCGAAATGGTCACCCAGTCTACACTTCGATTTCCCCAGTGTAGAGGAGACCCCATTGTGAGCAGCAAATGCAGTAGACTAGATTCTAGGAAGTGCAGGTAAAGTGTTTGGGCCCTTGGATACTGAGCAGGGAGGAGGTAAATGGACAAGTGTTACACCTTCAGCGGTTGCAGGGGAAGGTGCCGTGGGACTGTGGGGGTTGTTGGGAGTGAAGGAAGAGTGAACCAGGGTGTCTGGAGGGAACGGTCCTTGCGGAAGGCGGACAATGGAAGGGAGGGGAATGTGTGTCTGGTGGTGGCATCTCCCTGGAATTGGCGGAAATGGCGGCTAATGATCTTCTCAATATGGATGCTGGTGGGATGGTTGGTAAGGACAAGGGGAACCCTATCGCTGTTGCAGGAGGGAAGAAAGTGGGTGAGCCCTAGAGAGCTGCCTTCGTGAACTGCTGTAATCTTTGAGGTGTAGGGACACCCATAGTGCTGTTAGACAGGCAGTTCCAGGTTTTTTGACCCAGTGACAGTGAACGAATGACAATGTATTTCCAAGTGAGGGAAGTGTGTGGCTTGGAGGGAAACTTGTCGGAGTGGTGTTCCCATGCATCTATCAATCTTGTCATTCTAGTGGGAGCGTTCATGGATTTGGAAGGTACGGTTGAAGGAACTTGGATGAGTTGCTGTGGTGCATGTTGTAGATAGTACACACTGCCACTGCATTGGTGATGAAGGGAATGAATGTTGAAAGTAAAAAACTTAAATGACATAGCAAAAGAGATTGACTGAACTAGGAGGACTGGAACTAAAATAGTTTAACTGTTATTTCAAAATAAAATTGAGGAATAAAAACTATTTACTTCATCTACAATAATTGCTTTCTGTGCAGACTTTTTAGATAAAGTAGCCAGTTCTGATTTTGCTTTGCCATGTTGCTCTGGTTTCGCATCTTTAAGTCATAATCAGAGTTCAGGGATTTGAAGATAATATGTATATTATCCATCTTGTAACCTTTTGTACTGCATTTTGTTTGAATAATTTTAAGTTATTTTCCTCATTTACTTCTTTCATTTCAAGATTTTAAATTTTGTTTGATATTTTTGTGTTTTTTTTTTAATTTTGGTTTAACATTCCATGTGCATACATCATTTATCCTGACAGTGATGTACCAAAGGATCTCTCTCCTCTGTATAGGCCTGGAGATTGGGACGATCTATCTGCTGAGAAGGACCTAAATCCATTCAATCGTTTCAAAGGTATCAATAAAGCTCATGAGTTGAAGACACGTGATTCTTTGGAGAACTGTTATCCTGTCCAAAAAAAAGTTGAAGATGCATCTGATGAAGTATTTACAGAACTTGCATCATCCCCAGTTGATGAGGAAAGTGCTGCTGCTTCTAATGATGTTATTTGTCGGGAAGTTGCTAAAAATAAGCTGTCGAAAGTCAGTTCTGTGGACTCTGACCTGCAAGACAAAGGATATCACAGAAAGGATTCAACTACTGAAGAGAAATCAACACATTTGTCTGAAACACTGGAAAGTAAGAAACCTGACTTACTTGTGAAAATTAGTGATTGCAATGAACAACAAACCATGTTTCAAAAAACTTTGACTGGGCAATTGTCAAAAATGTGCATCCATTCTTTTGAAAGCCCAACTAGAATGGTAGGTGCTCCTTTAGATGAGGTTAGTTCTGTGAACAATGAAGTTATCTGTAATAGTAATGACCTTACAACTGATAAAAACAAAGGGATCAACCTAGAAAATGACTTGACTAAAGGGAGTAGAACTCCCTCGGTGCAAGTTTATTCATCTGGCGTTCATCGAAATAACAATGAAATGACAAAATCTGCTCTGAAGGAAGTAATTGAGGAAGATAATTTTGAAGCTGGTTGTCAATCAGAAATACAAGCTTTCTTTAACAAACTTAAAGGACCAATTGAAGGTAAATAGCAAATGTTTCACTTCTCATTGAACCATATATAATCACAGTATTTTACACTGTTATCTGGCTCATTATGCTTCTGTCAGTTGACTGTGGATGACCTTACATTTAGTTCCAATCCTGGGCTTTCCTCCCATCCTGTTAACATTTTTTCCCTAAATATGTTTTCCTTTTCCTTTTAAAAACTAGTCAACAGTTTCTGTTTCTGCCACCATTTCTGGTGGCAAACCATTGAGCATTCTTAAATATATTGGTAAGATATAGACCAATTAGTCCTTGACACCAAGTGTCAATTGCACTATGTAAAATTGATGTGAGATACATTTTTGGTGGGATGCTAAGGAATGATGCAGAAGGGACTGGAGGAACAGAGGTGCTAAGGGTGCAAATGCATAGTTCTTTGAATGTAAGTGTACAGCTACGTAAAGAGGTTTAGAAATGATTAAGAGTATGTTCAAAATTTATGAAAGACTGTAAGAAATAAGATCAGGAGCAGACAATTCAGTCCCTTGAGCCTACACCACCACTCAATACAATTGTGGTTAATCTAACATTCTGATGTTTACTATTCTGGCCTATTACCACATAACCCTCAATTCCCTGACTGATCAAGAGTTTATCTACTTCAGCTTTACATGTACACACTGGAACTCTGCCCCCAAAGCCCTCTGAGGCAAAAGGCTCCAAAGGCACTCAACTGAGAGAAGAAACTCCTCCTCACATTAGTGTTTATTGGTGCCCTTTACTCTGAGACAATGCACTCTGGTCCTAGACTCTCCCATGAGAGCAAACATCCTCTCAGCATTTACCCTATAAAGCCCTATAAGAATCGTATATTTAAACAAGATCATCTCTTATTCTTCTAAACTCCAGTGAGTAGGGTCCCAACTGTTTAGCCTTTGCTCCATAAAACAATCCCAGTGAACCTTCTTTGAGCTGCCTCCAATGAAATAATATCTTTCCTTAAATAAGGCGACCAGAATTACTCTCAGTACTGCAGATGTTGTCTCACCAGCACCTTGAACAGTAGAAATAAGACTTTCCTACTCTTATACTCCAACCCAGTTGATACAGGAACCAAAATTTCATTATCTTTCCTGACTACTTGCTTGCACCAGTATGCTAGCTTCCTATGTTTCATGTAAAAGCTCCCCCAAATCCTTTTTGTGTTGCAGCGTTCTGCAGTTTTAATCTCCATTTGAATAACACACTGTTCTTTTGTTCTTCTTTCCAAAATGAACAACTTTACATTTTTCCACATTTTTATTTGCCAACTTTTTGCCTGCTTACTTAACCTACAAATCTCTCTCTAAACTGATTCCATCTTGCAACTTGCTTTTTCACTGGTCACCAACTTGGTAACTAGAGGATATAAATTCACCATCAACGTATCAAAGTTAAGAGTATTTGTGCAGTTGGTTAGTGGAACATCTAATGTCCAATCAGAAATAGTGATGGAAACAAATCTGTAATTATCTTTTAAAATATTTACCCACTTCCTTTTGAAAAGAGATGCGTACAATGACATAATCGATTAGATAATGATCTTTTACGCTGTTATAATAAAGGCACAATAAAGGTCACCAGTGTTTTGGGTTTCATAATTTTAGAGAATAGAATACAAGAATCAAGCAGTAATTATACATTTTTGCATGGCAATGATTAGGGAACAACAGAGTACTGTGTGCAGTATTTGGGTGTACCCTTGTGGAATGTAGACCACTGAGCAAATACACTTACTTTTCCCTGGTAAGTTGTATGTCTGAGGAGAGGGTTGAGATATTTCTCTTAACTGCCAGAGCTGATCAGCTAAAATGTGTTTTCAAAGCTTTTTGTAATTTTCTGAATGTCTCAATAAGGCAAATAATGAAAGACTATTTCTTTGGTTAGAGATTCTGTGATGAAGATTCATTAAATTAAAATGATCAGAGAGTGAGAGGAAAAGTTAGGGGAATTTTATTTCAACAAAGACAGGTTGAAACATAGAATGCTTTCCTTAAGAAAGAGGTTCAGGCCACTGTGCCTGTGCAGTCTTAAACTAATCTCATTGCTCCACTTGCTCTTTTCACTGTCCATTTACTTATCCTTGAATTACAAAGAGCCGACACAGCCAGAATAATTTAATTGGCCATCATTTTGATGTCAGAGATTTAACAATACCTGAACGGTAGTAATAGTTTTTGATATTTGCCTGATCAAAGTTTTTCAGAATTCGATCAACTTTATCAGATTTTCTAATGATGGAAGCTTGTAATTGTATGGTACATTCATTGTAGAAGGCAGCCCAAGCGATTTCAGTGAGATGCAAGAGGAAGCAAATGTCATACTGAAGGAGGAGATAATAAGAGAGATGATCAGAATTTTTGACAAGGAGATATGTTTTTGGGGAGTCTAGTGAAATTGGGGCAAAGGGTAATTAGAAGCCAGAGTTATTTGATTTACTAATCATAATTTCATTAACTCTTTCTAATTTCAACAGTCTATTTATATCAATAGGATTAGATCTTCCAATGCTCATTTTTAAATATTTTCAGACATGCTTCCATCAAAACAGGAGAAGAGTAAGAAACCACCTATGTTCCTCTGCATTAAGGTTGGTAAACCTATGCGAAAGTCATTTGTATCATATAACTTGACTACTATGCATCAATCTGTGAAGAGGGGAAAACAACCAGAGTATTGGTTTGCAGTTCCACAAGAAAGGTGAGTTCTTGAATGTTTAAATGTTTTATCATTTAAAGCTTCAATGGCTGATTATTTTTCCCAATAAGCAGATACTTTTTTTTTTAACAATTTAAAAGAAAATTGCAATATTTTGAAACCACGTTTGTGTATTTTCAACCACTTTGCAGGAGTTAGAGACAACAGCAATTTGTAATTATTCAGCACCTTTGGTATAGGGAAAAATCTAAATCATTTTTCGGAATTGTAAGCAGTAAAGTAGATGCTGAGGCAAATATGTGTGAAGATTTGGGTTTTGGATCTTGCAGAAGAGAGGGATGTAGGGATAGAATTTTTGGCTGTAAATAAGAAATTTGTTATTCAGTCACTAGTGTCTTCAGGACAGGCAATACTATTTGGATGAACGTGGCCATTGGAAGATCTTGAAGCAAACCCCCAGAAACAGCCAACCTCCTCCCATTACAGGTTCTAATTATTCTCATGACTGATGCCAGAATTTTCAACTTTAAATGTCTATTCCTGCATACATTGATCACTTCATGAAGAATTATTTCCTGATTTCTGTTTTTCTCTCTGTACTTGTTTGAACTTGATCCCTTGTCCTCCTCTTGCAATTTAATTTAAATTTTGGGTACCTCTTGCACCACCTTTGGAATGCTGTTTACTAGCACCTGCTTTCTATGCTAAAAGCTGAACTTTCATCAGTCGTTCCTCGTAAATCAGATGTTTGGCATTCAACAGCAGTCTTGTCATTCTTCTCAAAGTGCTTACGACTCTGCATCTTAACAATAAGAACTGATCTGAATAGAGAACTATGTAGTTTGAATCACAAGTTTCACTTAATTGTTTCAGAGATTGTAGGAACTGTAGATGCTGGAGAATCTGAGATAACAAGGTGCAGAGCTGGATGAACACAGCAGGCCAAGCAGCATCAGAGGA